GCTGGCCAGGAGCAGAGCCCAGCACCACCTGTCTCCTCTCCTGAGTCCTGGAAAAGATAAGGTGGCCCTGGTACCCCAGCCCTATCCAAGGACAACTGCATGGGTCAGGGACTGCTCAAATCCACCATACTGCCCAGGGATGAAGGAATGAGGTCTGGGCCCAGCCAAAGATGGACAGAGGCTCCCAGCTGGGAGATGGAGAAAAGGAGGCCATGTTGGGATGAACGTGCTGACAGCTGTCTCTGCAGGAAAAGTAGGGCCGGACACAAGCTTCAGCGGGGACAGTAAACACTGTTGAGTGTCTGGGACAGTGTACGTCCCTGCTGCCCAGCGATGGCCAAGGGAGGCTCAGCCATCAAGGCAGCCCAGGAGGCTGGACATGGGCATCCTGGGCCTCCAGCCCTATTCTGCCACTGTCAGCCTCAGTGCACTGGGAGTCAGACCACAGTGTCCATGGTCACATCCTATGGGGCCCAAATCCAAGGTGATGCACACCTGCACGCGTGGTCCCACCATGATGCAGGGTTCCCACAGGGATGAAAAGATCACAATCTCTTCAGTGCCAAAATTTGAGATTGCACAGCCCATAAACATCAAAGTCAATAAAACAAACAAAACAACAGAAAAAGTGCTGAGCGCTGTGACTCAGCACTTACGAGGCTGGGGCAGGAGAGTGGCTAAGCACTCAAGGCTAGCCTGAGCTACGTAGTGAGACACTGCCACAGTGAAACAAAAAATAAATAAGCATCAAGGTCCACTCAAGATAAATGTGTTTAAATATTCTGTCTCACCGCATTTTATTTTCTTTATTTTGAAAGAACTGTGCTCCACAATGTGGCAGACAGAGCTCCTCTTCCTGGGGTCTCTCCCCAAGATGGGTGGCCCAGACCTCAGCAAGGGACAGGGCCCACAGGCCATTCCCGCAGTGCTGCCAGCCCTGCACAGCTCCCTGTGGGCCACAGCTCATGCCACTCCGGGCAGTGCCACACTGTGGCCAAGCAAGTCTCGGCCCTCCCTCCCTCAGGGGAGCCTAGTGGCTCAGCACCTTGGGAGGCAAGCTGACACTGTGCAAACGCTTCAGGACAAGGCATCTTCTCAGCCCATTAGCTGTGGATTCCAGGGCTCTCCTTCCTCCCAGAAGAAACGTGTGAGGCCCGTCTCCAACATGTACTCCATGCAGCTGCTCTAGAAAGCTTTCTCTGAAAAATGCTACTTATATGTTTGTTCCTGAACTAAGCACACAGAGACCACGTATCAAAATAGGTCAGGGTCAGTACAGAGAGGAAACAGACAACACTTTTGATGGCTTTTCTTGGTTTTCTGGTTGTTTTGCTTTGCTTTGCTTTTTTGTTTTTCAAGACAGGGTTTATGTTTGTTCATGTAGCCCAGGCTACACATGAACTCATGACAATACTCCTGCTTCAGCCTCCTGAGTGCTGGAGTCACAGACGTGGGTCATTAACATCGGTAGAGCATGTGCAGAAGCTGAGGGCAGCATTGCGTCTGGTCCTGTTGGTAAGGTCAGTGAGAGCCAAAGTGATGGTCGCCTCATTTCAAGATGTCTTGGTCTGCAGCCTGTGACACTGTGGCCAGGCTCAGAGCACCAAGGTTATTTCAGCAGAGCTCAGTGAAGCGAGCTCACTGATGGCAGCTGGTGTGGATTCACAGATCAGTGGTGCAGTCACTGACCCGATGCAGGGTGGACATAGGCAGCCCTGTTCATTTCCCTGTGTCCCCATGTGATCTTAGTCTGGAGGGATTCGACTGCAGCTCCTTGGCAGGGATCTTGTGGCCGGGTGGGTCCCTGGGAGGGCCCCCTTCTGACCCACCATGTCACCAAGCGTGGAGTGACCCGCCCTGCCGCCACACAGGCCCCAGATGTGTGGGGTCCCAGCCCTTTCCGGTTCTGACAGAAGCCTTTGTCTCAGCCCAGGGAGGGCCCTACTCTGCAGTGCTGCATCCCTCAACCCCTGGGAAGGTGAAGGACTCACAATGACTCCGGGATAGTAGCCACCCACGGTCACGTTCTCTGTCCTGGTGGTAGCGGCGAGGCCGATGGTCAGGATGAGGACAGACACCAGCAGCAGAGACCCCACGAACCATAGGGAGGTCCGCTTCCTCCTGGAGAAGCCTTCTGTCAGGAAGCCAAGACAAGCACTAGTGTGACCATCCCAGGGCCTCTTCCCTTGATCAGCGGCACAGAGTCGGTCTCTCAAGACCTCAGGCTCCTACTCACCCTGTTGACGCCCAGCGCTGGAGGATGCCATGACCCTGCCCACTTCCTTGCTCCCTTGAGACCTCAGCTCCACTGTCCTACGGTCCTGAGCCCAGGTCCCTGTGCTGCCCACCTCCACCCCAGACCCCGGGGTGACATTTTCTGGGACTGCTGTCCTCACAGGAAATGTGGCCTGTCCAGACCAGGAGCCATGGCACCTATGCCACATGTAGCACCCTCTCCTGCCTCCCAGAACCCTAGAGCCCCATGACTCCATCCCTGCCCCCTACACTGCAGGGACTGAATTCAGCACCCACTATATGTTGGGCCTAGCCAGCACCAAATACCATGACCAGGTCAGGAGGACCCTTGCCTATGACCAGGCAGGACCCAAAGGCATGGCCTGTTGCCCTGTATACACACACACACACACACACACACACACACATGGGGCCTGGGAAGGTCCTTCTACCACGTCCTTGACTGCCCAACACTAAGGGGAAGACAGCAGAGGCTCTGGCCCAGAGGAGCAGGGCAACTAAGCCAGCAATCTGCTCCTCTCAGGCCAGCTCCAGGTGTGGACTGACCCTCACTGGAAGGGCAGCATTGGCCGGCCACACTCAGGATGCAGGGAGGTCTTCAGAAAGCTGGCCTCGGCCTTGGACCCCTCTCCCCACCTGCTGCCTGGGATGACCATGCAAGGGCAGAGCTGGCACCCATCTAGAAAGAGCAGAGCAGGGGTGCCTGAGCAATTGAGCAGAGGGCAAGACTCTGCACTACAAACCACTGTTCTCATGGCCCTGATTCCAGCTGCCACCGTCACAAAAGCAGGCAGCAGGCAGGAAGGAACCTCGTCCCCTGCATCCTCCTCCACCAACCCTGCCCTGGTCTGGGCAGGAAGCAGCTCTCAAGAATTCTTACAGTGGACTTTGTCTCCAGACACATCTGCCACCTGGTACCATAGCAGAGAGCCACACAGCTCTGGGACCCAACCCAGGTTTCAGAATCAGTGCTCTCTGCACATGTTTGTGAGTGTGCAATGTGTGTACATGTGTGCACATGTGACCAAGCACTGTAGGCACATATGCACAAATATGTACATGCATGGTGGTGAGTGCACATGTGTGGGCTGTGCACATGTGCATACGAGTGAACTAGCTTTGTGTGTGTGCATATGAGCATCATACAGTGAGTGGCACACGTGTGTGAGCGTGCTGATGGCTGGATCATGGCAAGCTGTGCTGCCACACTTCCCAAGATTTTCTCCTCTGACTCCAGTGCTCCCCAAGGTTAGCTTAGGGTTGGGGTGGCGCTGAGAGGGCCCAGCCTGCTATGATGCACACGCTCATCATGGTTGAGACTGTTTACCCAGTGGGCCACAACAGTGGGAGCCCAAGGCAAGAGGATGCAGAGCTGGGGCTGTCCTCTCGTCCCCTGGTGCCGGGGCCCAGGGCTGAGTGACCTCGGTCCCAGGGGAGAGTGGAGCCCAGCCCCACTGCAGCAGACACTGTCCCAGGGATCATGAGCCCTGAGAGGCCCTGACCCTGTCCCATCAGCCTGTGGACATGGTGTTCACCATCCCTACTCTTTGCTCAAGGATATCATGACCCCAGATCCCCCCTCACAGAGACTGGGTTAGCTGAATCTGTGGGCCCATCAGACCTAGGCCCCATATATGCTGATTTGAACATGTCAGCTGGGCACATGACACCGCTGCAATGTCAACATTCAGGAGGCTGAGGCAGGAAAGCCCCTGAGTTCAGGAATTCCAGCCCAGCCTGTGAAACACAGAAAGACCCAGTTTCAAAAAAAATAGAATGGGACCCCACTGTAGGGACAAGGCACTGATCCCAGGGTGGCGGGCAAAGGTGTGCACCCTGTCATTGGTGTTCCTGTACTCTGATCTACAAATAGCACACAACAGGACAGGCAAAGAAGGACAAAGGTAAGATGCTCACAGTCCTACCCAGCCACATGGATGTTTGGCATCTTTTAAGTTTTGCTTTTTATTTTTTAATTAATTAATTAATTAATTAATACAGTATCTCACTACACAGCTCAGACTTGTAGCACTCATCCTGCCTCAGCCTCAGAGATTGAACCTGGGTTGCTTTTTGGTTTTTGAGATAAGATCTCACTGTGTTGCCCAGACTGGTTTTGAACTCACAAAGTCACATTTCCTTCCACCTCAATCCTGTAATTGGTGGGGACCCCAGGCAGCCTATGCCCCTGGCTTTGAATCCTTTAACGAAAGCCCAACACTGAGTGTGACGTCCTAAGGCTTCAAGTTCCTTGCTAGAAGAAAAGTTAAATCATTTGCTAGGTAAGCCATTAGGTCACTCTAGTACCAAAACATTAGTGACTGGCAAGCAAAGAGGTAGCCATGAGCAGCAATCAGAGGCTAACCAGGTGATCCTCTGGAGACAGAGGTGTGTAACGGACCTGGCACCACATGCCCTGCTATAGAGCGTGCAATGGAGGCTGGATCTCCTCACCCTCACCTTGATCAAGCTGGTCGTAGCAAGAGATTTGCCCCAGGTCCTTTGACAAGGTGCATCCGGTTCCCACTGTCGCTTTGCCATTTCAGGGGACACAAGCCCTAGGCGTCACCCTGGCTCCAGGTCCCTCCAGGCAAAGGCTTCCTGTTTTCCCAGCTCACAGCCTAAGCTGCAGGGCTGAACCTCGGAAATCAACAATTAGTGATTCCGTGAATTGATGGTGTGTGTGTGTGTGTGTGTGTGTGTGTGTGTGTGTGTGTGTGTGGTGTGTGTTGGGGGGAGTTCCTTGAAATCAAACACTGCCCTGAAACGCGGTGAGCACTTCTCAACTTCTGGGCAGGAAGCAGCTACTTGGGTTCCTTGAAAGGAGCCACACTGGGCAGAGCAGAAAGGTGCAGTCTGGTGGCCCCGCTGACAAGTTTCACATCTGTCCTCATAGGCAAGGGTGAGGGCAGCATCGCAGAATTAAGACAGACGCAAGGTCAGACAAGACAAGAGAGAAAAGAAGAGACTCAAAGAAGGGCTGGACGGTGGACAGACAGCCTGTGCATGCACGCTCAGAGGAGACAGAGGGACAGACACTCGGGTGCAGCAACCTGGAGACAGCCTTCCTCCTGCCTCCCGCCCCCCCCCACGTCCCACCCACTGCGCTGTCCACTCACCTGTGGTGTCCAGCAGTGCCAGGGGCCCGGGCTCAGGGGGCGCGGGTGGCTGCATCCCAGCTGAGGAGCCTGGCACTCTCCCTCCCTGGCTGCTCTGTGTGGCCTCTGTAAAGTGGCCCCGCCCCTGCTCCTGACACGCCTTCCCCTCCCCCGCGCTCCTAGCTCTGCTCCCTGCTGCCCATCCCCTCTCTCCTTCTCCTGCTCCCCTCCTCCCCCTCCTCACTCCCCCAGCCCATCCAGCTCCCTCAGGTTCCTGGAGATCAGAATGTGCAGGGAAAGGCATATGGTGACCAGCAGACAGCGTACACTTGGGGATGTACGCTGGGGATGCCCTTGTGGGTCCCTGCCCCTTCAGGGCCGCCCACGGAGGCCCTACAGCCCGCTGTTGGACGGGCCTTACAGGACACCGTGAGTGGCGCTGGTCAGTGAAAACAGGCCCCTGTCTGCTTTCAGGGGCCCACGCAGGCTGGAAGCTCAGTGTGTGGTATCTGAGCACATCCAGCAGCTTCAGGTATCCCCCATAGCACTGAGGGGGGGTTGGGTGGCGTTAGGGTGAGGGTGAGGTCAGGGGTAGGGTTGGGGAAAGGAACAGGGTGGAGGAAGTGGGTCGTGGGCCAGACTCCTTACATAGAAGCTGGAAAAACTAGTCTTTTAAGGTCACTAGTTTGTTTTTTTAAAATCTTCAGTCAGGCATGGTGGTGCAAGGCTGTATCCCAGCACCCAGGAGGCTGAGGCAGGAGAATCACCTATAGCCTGAGGCCAGCCTGAACTACATGTGAGACCTCGGCTCAATAAATAAATAAATACCAACAAAACCTTGGGCCGGGGAGATAGCTCAGTAGAATAAGTGCTTGCCTGCCAAGCGCAGAGTCCTGAGTTCAATCCCCGGTACCACAAAAAAAAAAAAAAAAGAAAAAGAAAAGTTACAAACAAAATCTTTCGTGGGCCGAAGTATACACAGCTCAGTGGTAGAGCACGTGACCAACACACTGAGACCAGGGTTTCAATAAAACAACAAAACCTGAGTGAAGGGTATCCACAGCCACCCACAAAAGAGGGAATTTGCAGAGGCTTGGTCTCCCTAGGAGACATCAGCCACGCTGGTGAGCACAGGTGCCTGCGGCCAGCCAGGGCGAGCCAGCATACCTCCCTGGAGCCCAGCACTCAGGAAACAGGAAGCAGGGCCTACTGACCAGCAACTTCCCCAAGACTCCGGAGCAGACCTTAGCTGTGCACCTCGGAGGGAGGAACCAATCTGTGGCCCATTACATCACCCAGAGATTGTTTTCAGTTCCTCCTGTCCTGAGCCCAGATATGTGAATCAGTCTCTCAGAAGAGCACCTGTTAGGAGCCCTGTCATCACCACAGGCCATCTGCTGTGATAGAGGCCTGCATCGTGGCAGAGGGGTTCCCATATGACAGCAAAACAATGGTCCCCAGGTGGGGGAACCCAGCAGTGCCTGGCAGGGACCATGCGGGGCTGCACCGCGAAGGCCTCATGGATCTGCACTGCAGCGAGCACCATGTCTTTTGTGCACAGTCAGTACTAGGGACAGGGCTGAACTTCAGCCTTTCCACAGTCACTGTGCACCCTGAGTGGCCACATGCTTGTCACACAACAGGAAGTGCTGCAGAGCAAGACAAAGACCCTGGTGGGAGGAGAGCAACTAGCAAAACTGACAAATGGTGCAGCACACAGGGACTTGCATGTTTGGACATGGTTTGAATGTGTCCCCCAGGGCTCCTTATTGGATGTGTGGTTCCAGCGTGGTGACATTAGAGGAATTGGAACTTTCAAAGGAGGAAGCACAGTGCAAAGTGACCAGGTCCCTGGGCACCCATCTTCGAAGGTGTCCCAGTAGCTCACGTGGAGCCGCTGGTATGGAGGCCAAGCCAGCCCCAGCTGCCCAGCTCCCACCTCTCCACATGGCCCAGCGCAAGCTGTCCGTCGTGAGTGCCTCTTACCCTGCGAAGTCCATCTCAGAGCCATGTTTCTTATTTCAACCAGACGCTTCTAGAGGTCTCAGAACTCGAGCTTGGGGTGTCTTGAATGATAACAAACAACAGACTTCCCACTTTTCAAGTGGAAATTACATAGGTTGGCACATAGACACGCCATGGAGCCGTGCCACAGTGCGAGCACACCCACCACCCTAGGTGTGCCTCTGTCCCTCATGAGCACCACTTTGCAGCCCCTCCCCAGTGCCTATTGGTCTGCTTTCTGATGTTTTGCATACTCCAACATTTTATGGAAATGATGCACCTCATGGGCTGGGCTTGTACAGGACCAAGGCAGAAGAGGGGTGAATTCTCCCACTGCCTCACTGAACTGGGGCTTCCTTCACCACCTGTCTTTGGGCTCTAGGGCTCAGAGTGAGAGCCACACCATCCACCCCTGGTTCTGAGGCCTTGGGACTTAGACCCACTACTGGCTTCTCTGGGCCTCCACTGGCCAGTCACCATGTGGTGGTGGAAATTCTCAGCCTCCATGAGCACATGAGGCAAGTGCCCCAGGAAATCTGCTCTTGTGTGTCCATCCATCTACCCATCCACCCACCTAGCCATCATCCATACCTCCATCCATTCATCCACCTGTCCATCATCTACCACTCATCCATCTACCTTATCAACCCATTCATCACCTATCCATCATCTATCCATGCAACCACCCATTCATCCACCTATCCATGGTCTAGCCATTCATCGACCTATCCATCATATATCCATCCATCCACCTAACCATTCATCTACCTGTCCATCCATCTACCCATTCATCCACCTATCTCTTCATCCACAGTATCTATTCAACTATTTACCATCTAGCTATCTCTCCATCTCTCTACGTCATATATCCATTTATCTATCTACTCACCTATCCATCAAAATATCCATCAGCTTATCCAGATTTTTCTATCTATACATTTATCAATCTATCTACCCATTTATCCATTCATATATTAATCTGTCACATATTTATCCATCTTCCTATTCACCTATGCATTTATGTATCAAGTTTTTAATCTACCCAGTTGTCTATCCATGCATTATCTGTCTGCTCCCCATCTGTCCCTCCATCTACCTATAGAGGCACCTATGTGTCCATCTATCTATCTTTATGTATCCATGTATCTATTTCTCTCCTCCATGTCTGTCTATTATCTATTTATCTATCTGTCTATCATCTACCTAACCAACTACCTGTCTATCCATGCACAGTCTATCTATCCATCCGTATAACCATATGTCTATATACTTACTGACATCTATATGTTCTATCTATTCCTTCTCTCTGAAGAACTCTAGCACAATATTCTTTTTGAAACTACACCTGAATTTAACAAGTGGTAGTTTTTGAAGGTTAATTATAATGTGGAATCTAATATCATAATAACTCTTTTGTACCTTTCATACAGTAAAATCCAGTAGACTCTTGCATTCAGAATATATCTTTGCTCAGCTAAGATGTCAAGATATTATGCTTTGGAAGGGCCAGCCAGATAACTCAGCAGATTAAAGTGCCTGCTTAGGCCGATGCAGGGACAGGGATTCGATTCCCAGTGTGCCATTTGGGCCCTGCCCCCGGGGTACACTGAGATGGCAATTGAGACTGGGCATGGTGGCACGTGCCTGTTATCCCAGCACTTGGGAGAATGAAAATAGGAGGATCACTATAAGTTTGATCTGTGTAGTGAGACTCTGTACTAAATATATAGATATAGATATAGATATAGATATAGATATAGATATAGATATAGATATAGATATAGATATAGATATATAGATATATCATGCTTTGGTCACTTGAAAAATTACTGGGAAACTATCATGCTCATGGTGGAGGATTAAGTGTTTTAAAATTCCTGGTGTCATATGAAAACTTAAACTGTCACTGGCAGCAAGTACCTTGGTGGGACAGATTTCCTTGTTCATTCTGAAGAAATCTCAGCCAAATACCCCATCCCACTTTGCCAGGCTAGAGCTAGGGCTGCAGGCACTGGGGCCAGGTCAGATTCCGCCTGCCCTCAGAGCCCCATGCATCCTGAGCCTGTGATCCTCTGCGGGATCATGAGACCATGGAGAAGGCTGTGCTGCGGCTGCAGCCAATGACAGGAAGGCCATACTGAGGACATTCAGAAGGAAAGCACTAAGCTCTGCCTGCCCAGGGTGAAGGGCACAGTGACAGGTAAGACAAGAGGCCAAGTGCCAGCAGCTTGGCCACCACTGACGCTACCACAGTGTGAAGGTCCACTCCGTGGAAAAGGCAGAGAATGCTTTAGCTTTGCAGTCATGCCCCAGGCAAGGCGATGTCTGGGTCAGCAACAGGGTATCACTCAGGGATCACTCAGGTGCTCCCGGAGATGCTGAGAGGGCACCTGCCTCAGCAGAGACGTCACCACGGCCACACACTGAAGAGCAGCACACTCACCCCCCTTCTGCGGTTGTGCAGGCACGAGCAAGGTGCACGCTGGCGCACGCTGGTCATGGGAAGCACAGCACGTGTGAGTGTGTGCAGTGGTCAGCGCTTGGCCGGGACGGAGACGGCAATCTTGCCAGCCCGGGTGCCTAGCACACTGTGCTTCGCAGTTGCACACGTGCTTAGAGAGCTTCCCCAAAGCAGCCTGCGGCGCTGCTCCGGGGAGCCAGGCCTCTTGGCCCACAGTGTCCATGCCAGGCTCCCGGATCGTGGCCGCTACATTGCCTGACAGCTGGCACCCCAGGGAGCAATGGCTGGGATCTGGGTATTTTTAAAATGTAACTCAATTGTGCTCTCTCAAAAGACAATTATGAGAGGATAAAGAAATCTATCTTCCACTCCTCAGGAGATAGCCACAAAAGCTGGATAAACTGTTATTGGCATCAGGAAAAAATTTAAAGCAGAAATGCTGCACAGCCCCCCCCCAGCCAAATTCCTTCCTGCTTAGTATGAACTATCTTGTGTGTCATCCCCACCCCACTTCCTTTCATACACAGAGGCCCGAGTTGGCCTCAGGGACAACCACAGCCGCCTTCTTCTCTCCCAAGACCATGTCTGGCCCAGAAGACGCTCACTACGCCTGCCCTGAAAGGAGAATGAACCTTGCCCCCAAGCCAAGGTTGGCCTCTGCCTGGCAGGGTCTAGAGACAAGGCCCTGCCCTCACCCCCCGTCAGCCACTGGTGCACGTCAGCAGGAGCCAGCAAGATTCTGAAATTCGGGCCTGGGTCTCCAGGCCAAGAGGACAGGACTCAAAGAGCAATGAAAGTGGGAGGGCATCACCTTCCCCTTTGTATCTGGGCCTCTTCCCTGCAGTGGAAGTCTCGAGCTCAGGGATCGACAAATGACTCCTCTGCAACCCTGAAACCCTATCACCAATGAATAATGCAGAGAAGACAGCAGGGGGATGGAGAGGCTGCCCTGCCCTCCATCTCAGTGGAGACCTGGAGGAGGGGAGCAGGAGTGAGACAAGAGATGCTCTGGAGACATTAATTTTTAAGAACAAATAACACTTGGTGCTTCACTGGGAGCCTTGTGGTGACAACATCCCAGATGTCCCTCTCCCACCCGGGCAGCTGGGGCCAGATGGCTCAAGTTCCCAGGAAGGCCTTGCCTGCCTCAAGCGTGGCCAGCACCGGCTTGCCCAGTGTCTTTTGCTCCAGCAGAAGCATCTGCAAAGTGCAGAGGTGTGGGCCACCCTGCTGCAGGGGAGACACAGGGCCTCAAGGCTCTGAGGGCCAGGAGAACCCCAGCAGGACAGGAAACAGGCAGGCAGCCTGAGCCATGCCGTTCAGTGCCGTCGACTTGGCCACCACTGTCCCTAAGCCCAGTGGGCATTTTGGCTTGGACAACGGTTATCCCTCAGTCTGCACCTGGGAAGAGACGGGGGAGACTGGAGAACTGAGGTTTGATGTTTTGGGAAACCCAGTCGGACTTGTTCATTCTCATCTGGACTTGTGTGGAAGGCCCTCTAATTTGAAGGCAGGGCTACAGGGAGCCCATCCTGGCTCTGTTCTTCACAGTGCATTCTAGAGTCTTTTGCAGGGAGTGCCCCCTGCCCAAGTGCCTTCAGAAGTTGCGAGGCCTGCTTTATGGGCATCCTGCAGGTGGACGCGTACAGGAGGCGTGAGCACCTGAAGCCTCATTTGTGGTGTCGGGCCGTTGGAGGCCTCAGTGTGGAGGAAGCACCACCCCTTGAGGCTGGGCACACACTGGGCACCCGGCTAGATGGGGCAGGTAGAGGCCACTGTCATTGCTCACCTCTGGCTGGTGCTGCTGAGGACCAGAGGACAAAGGGAGGCAGATGAACCACGTGGGCCTGCCTCGTGTATTTTTTCATTCAAGACAGTCTCATTATGCTATTCAGGCTGGTCTGGAGCTCTGGGCTTGAGACACCACTCTGGCTCAGCCTCCTGAACGCTCGTACCATGGGCACACAACACCATGCCGGGCCCGCCTTTGTTTCTGCTTTGTGTCCTGCCATGATTCAACTCACCTGCATTGGCCAGCATCCCTACTGTCCACTAGGCTCACTAGAGGAGCAGATTTAACATAAAATGCACGTGATATCTAAAGGGTTGGCTAGGCGGGCCTTTAGTGGCCACTGTGGCACGAGATGTAGGACAAAATGCCATCTGCACACCGGGCAGCCAGTGGGAGTCGCCTGCGCTAGGCACGTGGAGGATCTGGAGCCTGACAGCCATGCCAACGGAGCTCAGAAGAAGTGAAAGGGCTGCTTTCCCTTTCTGGTTCACCCAGGCTCCAGCCTGTTGGTTGGCACCAAACATGTCTGGGGCAGGTCAAGAGCTCCTGGGCTTTCCTCTCAGTTGGCAACTTTCACGTCAGTCACCCATGCCCAGAACTGCGCTCCACTAAGGACTAAGTACACAGCACAGCTGTGTCTGCAGAACCTCAGCAGGAGGCCAGTGCGTGCAGGACCGGGGGGACGCAGGTTCGTGTGTGCGCAGACCACAGGGACTGTTGGCACAGAGCAGGTGTCTGCAGCTGGGAGCTCATCCAACAGCCAGGGCGTGAGAACCTGGCAGCCACAGAGAGGCGCCTGTGGCGTGTGTGTGTGTGTGTGTGTGTGTGTGTGTGTGTACATGTATATACGCATATATCTGCACAGCGAGCCCTCGCACATCCACAGGAACATTCAAGTGTGCACAGCATGAATTTACATCTCAAGCAGAGAATATGCTTTTCTTTTAAGCATTTAAAATCCTTTTTCACTTAAGTAGAATTTACACTTTATAACAGAAGTCATGCTGAAGGGGCTCTAACTAGTATCAAGCATCTCCTCTGCTGTCTGCCCTCCCCTGGGCCAATGGCTGGAATTCCCACAAGAAGGAGGCCATCATCCCACCACTCTATCCCTGGCTGGAGAAAATACTCCTCCGCCTGCTTCTGAAGGCTTTCAGGGCTGAGAGGAACACCTATGGTGACACCAGGGAGCATTCTGGGGACCCCACGGCCAATGCTCATGCTGCAGGTGGCAGTGTTTGGACTGCAGGTTTTGCAACAGGCCCAACATGAATGGCATCCTGGCACCCCAAGAGAGATGTGGGCACCTGCAGCTGGACTCTGGCTTCCCTCTGCAGCCCCAGGAGTCCCACACTAAACCCCTGGCTGGAAAGGAGGACCTAGGACTCAGAAGGGCAGCAGGAAGGGCAGACATCTGCTGGCTAGGGCTGGTGTCTGCTCCAAGCACTGCTCCTAGAGACCCTTGAGACCTCTGAATGCAGAGCTGGAGGAGGCCTCAGCACAGAAAGCTCAGTGCCAGACACCAGATGCCCAGCAGGACAAGGCCAGGGCAGCGTGCGTGGAGCTCTAGTTGCCGTGCAGCTGGACAGGGCCATTCCGGCTCTGGGAGGGAGTCCTTCCAAGGTCGCATAGAGAGGTGAGGCTGCTAGGGAGGGTGAAGAGGGGGCACCAGGGGCTGGCCCCTCTGTGTGACACGTGTGTGTGTACACATAGCCAAATGGCCCTCAGCTGGCCCAAAGACCCACAGGCCAGGGGTACCTGGGCTTGGCTGGAACCAGCTTGGCTTGGGCAGCCATGCACTGGGAAGGTGAGACACACAAGCACACAGACTGGCCAGGCTGAGAAAAAGACCCTGCAGGAAGTCTGACTGCATTTAGTTTTCAGATAAACAAGTTTACCCAGACATTTCCCAGATGCACTGTACCCCACTGCAGGGGATCAGGTGAGCAGAGAAGCTGGGCCAGCCCGAGTGCCACAGGCTCTGGGCAGCCCATGGTTGTGGGGGAGGTGGCCAAGGGCCCACTGCCTCAGCTGTGCAAGCTCTTGGAGCCTCCTAGTCTGGACCAGTCAGGAGTGAGAGCAAAATGCACAGACAGCACTTACTTCCTGTGTGTGACACTAGATGTGGAACAGGATGGGGTGAGGGAAGGGACAAAGCTTGGGCTCATCATGGAGACCAGGCCTGGGTGAGTCTCAGGTCACAGTCCAGGAGGCACAGACCTTCCGCGGCCTTTCCCGAGCTTCTGCAGCTTTGGCAGCTTCCAGTGCTCTTGAAGGTCCCTGTTGGGAAGCCGTCCTGGCACTGAGTTGCTGTCCGGGTCAGTCCCCGTTGTCACCGCATCGCTGAGGAAGCATCTGGAATTCTCCACAAAAGCAGCTTTGTGGGTGATTTTAGCTGTGTGTTCATAACAGGTCTTTGTGCCTGATAGCTGCCCTCACAGGTACGAACTGGACAGAAGCAGGCGGGTCCCAGAGTTGGCCGGGGAGGAATCTTCCAAGTTGCTGGCTGCCAAGGGTACCATCCCTCATGCAAGCAGGGAAGGACACAGGTGTCCACCGCACTCTGTGCTGCCTGAGGACACAGGCACATGCCACACACCGTGCACGTGCCTGAGGACGTAGTGTCCTGCACACTCAGTGTGACTGTCTAAGGACTCAGACAATGCTTCACTTGGTGCGGACTGAGGGTGCAGCTACACACTACGTACCACACAGGTGCCTAAGGACATGGCGTCCTCCACACAAGGACACAGGTGTCCACCGCACTCAGTGCTGGCTGGGGACACAGGCACATGCCACACACCCACACGTAATATGACAGGCCATTGGCATCTACCACACTCAGTGCTGACTTAGGACATGCGTGTACATCACACACCACATGCATGCCTGAGGACACGGCGTCCTCCACACAAGGCGTGACTGTTGAGGACGCAGGCATCCACCATACTTGTTGCTGAAAGACATGAGACCCCACACACACATGGCATGAGAATCCGCCACACAGTGCTGACTTAGGACATGAGTACACAACACCACCAGCGCAGGCGTGCATACACACACACACACACACACACACACTCCCGTAGCACCCTCCACATGCACTGTGACTGAGGACACGGGTGTCAACACACAAGGCATAAGCTGTCCAAGGACACTGAGATCCACCACAGTCAGTGCTGACTGAAGTCATGGGCATCCACCACGCCGTGTGACCAGGGACATGAGTACCCACTGTGCCTGGTGCTATTTGAAGGCAGACATGCACCACAATCAGTATTGGCTGTGAGAGGATACAGGGGCCCTCCATGCTTGGTGCCATCTCTTCACACTCACTTTGGCCATCTACACATTGGGCTCTGATTGCCCACAGATGCAGCATCCACCTTATTCAGCACTACCTGGAGACAGGCATGAGCTATACCCAGTGCTGCCTACCTGAAGGCACAGGTGACCACTACACTGGTGACAACTATCAGGGCACTGGGATCTGTCACACTTGTACTAGCTCCCTATAGAAGAGACCACCCAACACCAGTGACATCCAAGGATGCACACTCCACTTACTCAATGATGGCTAAAAATGGATGGGGCCTGAGGACACACAGGTGTGACTGAGGACACCACTGAGTTGTGTGACCGCCTGAGGACACAATGACCACCTCACCCAGCGATGACAGCAGACACAGGCATCCATCGTACTTGATACTGACCAAGGACATGGATGGCCACCTGTGTCAGTTAAGCTTGATTGTGTCCACCTGACTGGGGGTGGGTGGGGCACATTTCTCCGTGTGTCTGAGTGGGCTGTGAAGTGTGGCCTGGTACCCCGGAGGGGCCCTGTGCCTTCCCCTCTGGCACTGCCCTGCTCTGCTCCCAGCCACCGTGAGCTAAGCAGCTTTCTTCTGCCACCCCTTTCTGCCACACTGTTCCTGCCTTGGGGTGAGCTGACCACAGACTGAATCCCCCAAAATCCTGGGCCAGTTAAACCTCCCTCTTTTAAGTTGTGGGTGTCAGGTTCAGAACAGGAAAGCTGACCATCGTGGTGCCACTCGTGGTATAAGTGTTCAAGGACACGGATGCCCACCATACTCAGTGCTGACTGAGGACACAAGCGCTCTGTTCAACACGTGTGGTGCTGGCTATCAGAGGCAGCTGGCTGTACCACTTCCTGAGGAAGGTTGGGACTCCCTGCAGGATTCTGCCTCCCTGCAAGGGAATGTCTGGAAGGTAGGTGGCAACCTGTGCAGGTGCTGGGGAGAGAGGACAAGGTCTCCAGGCAGGTGCCAGAGTCCCATTGTCTAGGAGCAGAAGCAGAGCAGGCCCCAATTTGCCAAGCCCTGAGCTAATGGAAGGCGCATGGCCCAAGGGGTGTTGCCTGGGATCTTAGGGTCCTGTCCACAGCGAGGCAGGTTGCACATCTACGAGAGAGAGACTCCAAGCATTGGTGCGTTCTTGGCTTGTTCCACGGGGAACATGTTTGTCTCTCTGAATAAAGCAGGGCAAAGGGAGTGGGCCGCCATGTTGGGGGTTCCTGCTCCAGGCAACAGCATGCTGTTCCATGCCCATGCAATGCAGCTCTCCTACTGTGAGACTCCTCTCAGGACCACGGCTGCCAGTGGACTGTGGCTGCAGAGTGGGTCACAGGCCAATGTCACAGTCCTTGCCCCATGATAACCTTGGCAGAGCTCCCTTTCCTCACCAGCCTCCCTGCTTCTCTCAGGCAGCCAGCTAGGAGATCAGACACATCCCCGACTTGGATGCAGGAGCCACCTGCTCCACAGCCACCCCCTTCATGTCATCAGGCATCTCTCCATCCGCACGCCACACATTCAGCTCCCCAAAGATGCCTGTCTCAATCATTTCCTCCTGCCAGGGAATGGGACAGTTGCCAGAGGCAAATTCCTGGAAGAATTCCGTGTCCACTTTGTCAAAGACCACGCCCTTGACGGTGGAAAAGGCCCCCACGTCCTGGATATTCTTGGCGTAGACAGTCCTGGAGTCCGGGATGAAGGGGGGGATGAGCATTCCTGTGAAGAGACAGGAGACACGGACTGAATGCTCACGTCAGCCAGGCCTCTGCCACAGAAAGCAGAGGGGGTTGTCCTGGGGGCCAGCAGAGAAGGCCAGCATCCAACACAGCACCAGCCCTCGATGCTGAGGGTTCAGTGGACAGAGCACCCCAGAGGACAGCCAGGAAGCTTGTCCTAAGCCAACCTCGGCTTCTCCAGACCCTACTCAGGCCTCTTCTTGAGCACAGAGCTTCTGCCCTGGACCCCTGTGTGGATCTCAGCCCCTCAGGTGGCCCTGTGGACATCATATTGCAGTGCAGCCCCAGGACAAGCTTCTCTAGCCAGCCTCACATCCTGCTGCGCCAGACACAGAACATTGTCCTCTACCGCTCCAGTCACGCACTGCCCGAGCCCTGGCTCTGCCCCTCCTCCCCACACACTGGCCTTCCCAGGAGCACTTGGAGCTGCAAGGCCTGCATGACCCTCGCTGGCTACATGTGGTCCTGGTCTCCCACGGCTGTGGGCTTTCCCTGCAGTCATGGCTTTTCCTGTGACCATAGCTTTTTCCATGGCTCTGGTTTCCCAGTGACCCTGGCTTTCCCACTTTTCCTGTGACTGTGGCTTTCCCAGTGGCTCTTACTTTTCCTGTGACTGTGGCTTTTCTCATGTCCTTGGGCTTCACCAAGGAGCTCTCCTCTCTGCATGGCTCCACTGTGACACCTGGACTCAAACCCCCACAGCTCAGCCTCCACCTGGGGTCAAGCCCATGTCACCCCAACCTTGGAATATAGTCCCTGGGTTCCTGACCCAACTCCTCCTTTGGCTTAGGGCCAATCCTGATGGCCATCACAGGCAGAGTCCACAGTCAGACCGCTGCCCAGGGTAACATCTCTTTTGGGCACCTTGCGCTGTTCCCTGTGGTTGTCCGCTCTGGCCACAAGGTAGCTGATCTCAATTTTCAGTGATCTCTAACTCTCCCTGCAAAGTCCCTGAGGGACACAGGACACATGAGCTCACATAGAGACACAGACAGGCATGTGGCACAAGGGCACACACAGGGACACAAGGGCACGTAGACACAGAGGCAAGCCCACATGTGGGTGGACATGCATGCACACTCACAGACAGGGGTAGAGCCTGTGCTACAGCTCAAAGTGAGTGACATCTCCCACCAGGCCACCCAACCCCTTGCCTTAATGAATTATACCCTCAGAGTTCAGAGTGTGGCAGCCATGGTATACCCAGCTGGAGCCCAGAGTCAAAGTGATGCCTGTATGTGCCCTGTATGTCCCCTCCTAGCACTGGAGATGAACAGAGGGCTGGGACTGTACTGAGGCAGGGGTGGCTGTGGCCCGCTGACAGTACCAGCCTCAAGCTGCCTCCAGCTGATGCCCCCGAAGAGGGCATGTGTGCGCAGCCCATCGCAGCTCCCATCGCGGAAGCCCAGGCGCCGCCCAGGGTCCTTCTCCAGCAACGCTTCGCAGAAGTCCTTGCTGGCCTGGCTGAAATTGTCAGGGTACTTGACAGGCTCCGAGAGGATCCGCTGCTTTAGCTCCTTGTTCTCCACCTGCAGGAGGACACAAGGCAGCAGGCTCAAGACTGGGCATTTGCCCCAGCCAGTGCAGGTGGCCACGAACAGCCCCAGTGTGCCCCTTGCCACTGCTCAGAGCCGGCACACCAGCACCCTAACAGTGATGCCAGGAGCCAGAGTCTGGGTGTATAGCATCTTAGGGAACTCTGGCTGACTTCTTCAGCATAGCTGTGTAATGACTCCAAAAGAATGAAACACAAAAGCACCACAGGCCACAGTCATACTAGGATCTCACTTCCAACTCACAGGACAGGAGCTGTAGTGTGGGGCTCATTTGATTTCTGGCCACTCCCTTGAGGTGGTGTCCACCCACCAAGGTCCTCCTAAGAGTGCAGGTGGACAGTCTGGCAGTGACTGGTGGCCCCCAGGGCCCTCCATTCCACAATGGCTAAGGAGGTGGAACAACCACATTCTATGTCCCTAGACCTGACTACCAGGCTGGGAATTAGGCTCGGCCCAAGTACCCTGAGAAGCCAGGACAGAGCCAGCAAGAAAAGGCCACCCAGTGAGGCCAGCTCCCACATGATCTCAGGTGAGGGGCACGGGTAAGGCAGGGCTATGCACGGTGTGCATGATGGGCACCATGCCCCAGGCCCCAGGCCCTCTGGACTCAGAAAAGGAGGGCACCTGTCTTGGGGTGATTGCTGATGCCTGCCCCTCTGGGACAAAGGGACAGTATGAAGTTCTGCAGCAACCCTGTAGGCCTCAGGATCTGGCAGGCCCAAACATGTTTCCAGGGCCCATGAGATCACCCCAAGAAGTGCAGGAGCCTGTGTCCTACACCGTGTCTGCCTGGGGAACAGATCCTCCAGGGCCACAGCACACACCACACAGCACCTACCTTCTCCCCACGAGCACGGAAGGGCCCTCTGGCTGCGATCATCTCGTACAGTGTGACCCCTAGGGCAAAGTAGTCCACAGAGAAGTCGTATTCTTCACCCCGAAGGAGCTCGGGGGCCATGAAGCCTGCCAGACAGAAGCATCCATCCTAAACACAGAGTAGATGAGAGCAGTTCTGGCCTGAGAGGTCCCAGCACTACTGGTACCCGGGGACAGAAAGTCCCATGAGGTCATTCACAATATTGGGCAGTACGCCAGCCTCCATGTGCCAGATGCCAGCAGCCTTTCCCCCAGATTGTCTCCCAGCAAGCACCAGAGTGGGGGAGCTGCCCTGGTTAGGAATCCTGGTGCTGCCCAGGTGGTGTGATGTCACCTCTCCCCTCCGTGGCATCTCAAACTTAGGGACAGTGCAAACCACACCTGGATCACACAAAGTAGAGCGTGACTCTCAGGGTATGACAGCCCCCACGGCTTCCTGACCCACTCTCCAGGAAGGCCAGGAAAGCTCAGCTCTGAGCATGGGCAGTCCCCAGCGTAGGCACAACATCCCAGGACCCCTGTGGTCTCCTTGCTGTGTACCCAGCGGGTCAGGTTTCATTTAAGCCATGTTCACCACAAGGATGTAGCATGGAAGACAGTGGCACTGAAATGGTGTCACTTGCTCAGATGATGAGAGGTAGAAAGATCTGAATAGGCACAGTGGCCCCTGGCTGGGCAAACCCATCTCTAGCCCAACTGCCTGTATCACGGTCCTCGGCTCAATGTGACCCATGCAGAAAGCGGACTAGACAGTGCCCAGTCTGCCTCTGCCACAGGAGTAGCCAGCCCGCTGGTCTTCACTCCCGTGGCTGGATGTCCTTGCCAACATCCAGAGGCCTGGACAGCTCATGCGGGGCTTGTCTTGGGCTCCACTGATACGGCTCCATCGGCCAGGCAGCACCACATGCACCTCTCCCTCTCGGACGTCACTGGTCAACAGAAGCTCCAAGGGTACGACGGCCACGCTGGGCTCCGAGACGGGGTGCAGCTCCAGCCTGCTGCCGCTCACTTCCCCAAATCACAGTCTTCCATTTGCTTGACTTGCCAGTGCTGAGCTTGTCTGTCACGTCGTGAAGATCCTACAAGCCTGGCCTTTTCCAACAATGTGGTGCCAACATCACCCTGGCAAGAGTCCCTGCCACCTTCTCCCTGCTCTGATCAGGTCTGGGAGGAGCCACAGAGCCTCTTGGTCCTGGCCCCAGGTGACCGCCTCCTTGGTGGCTCCTTCATTTTGGCTAAGTGGCTTCTTCAGGAAGATGCACGGGGGAACATTCCAGTCCAAAATGCCCCCATTTTTCCTCGACGTTGAACATGCTTTGGCTGGCTAGGGGCCCTGCCTCCTCTCTGCATTCCTACACAGTTCCCACCATCTTCTCCAGGGTGACTTCAGGAAGTACCAGCCCCAGCGACCTAATTTGGTGTCCCTCCTGGTAGCCTGGGTGTCTTCCTGGTGCTGGAATCTCACCGGCACACTGGGAATCTGCTGGCACCCACATGCCACATGTTTCCAGCTAGAAGCTGGGGTAATCCTCTGGGGCTTTTCCCAGGGTTTTGGTGACACCCTGCCTGTGCTGGCTCCGATGTCAGCCCATCCAGGGTGGGCCTTAGTCTTCTTGTGCTTCTCTCATGCTGCCCTTCTTTCTGTACTCTGATCTGCTTTCAGAGAAGACTCAGTTGACCCTTTAAGTCTGCTTCGGTGTTCCACTTCTCTCCGCCTCCACCCCTGAATGAGGCTCCTCTTCTCTCCCGAGTGGTGCCAGTCATGGGCAGGACCCAGCAGACAGCTTCCCTCCTCCAGCCTCTAGGCAGCAGCTGGACAACACCCGTTCAGCTGCCCCAGGCCCCTTTTCCTCCTCCCCTCTGATCTGAATCCCCACTGCCTCATCTACACTCCAGAGGCCATGCACACAGAGGCACCATGTGTCTGTCATGGTCCCAGGCCCTACAGAATGCTGGCAAACGAGTGGCACTGGCTTCTCCCGCCTGCTCCACTGTGGCACCCAGGAGCCCAGAGCCACATGTCCTCCCCAGGAAAACCTCGCTGATTTTCATGTGAGGACAGGCAGGTGGTTTGCCTGAGCAGGATGCAGATGTGGGTAAGAGCTTGGTTCATGTTCCCCATCTGTCTCATGTCTCCCAGTCACCACCTTCAGGGGACAGGGACCTCAGCTGGCAGACAGAGAGGCCCAGCATTAGTATGTGGGGCCAACCATGCCACACCCTTAGGCCAGTGGCTGCCAAGCCCAGGGCATCTGAGACACCAGTGGGCTCTGTGGCCAGCAGTGGGGTGGCTCTGTGGACAGTCTCAGTTCCTGCTGATCTGAATGCTCCAGAGCCTGTCAGTGCTGCAGCCCCGGCCCACAGGCTGCAGAGCCTGTCTCCCCAGACACCCAGCAGAAATTGAACCTCACAGGCTCTGGGGCCAAGTACTCCTTCCACCTGTCAGGGTTAAACTGTCATCCCCACTGTGGCTGAGACTGAGAAGAGAAGACTCATGACTTCCAGATCAAAGCAGAGGTCTTGAGGCCACGGAGTCTAGGCAGACACTGCCCAGGGGCAGGATCATCACGTCCCGGGCATGTAGTTCGCACTGTGCGGGCCTGAGGATGAGTCCTCCTGCAGGCTGGAGCCCACACAGGATGCGTGAGGCACAGGGCGCCATCCCTGCCTTCCACCACACAGCCTGCCTGGCTGACCCTGAGTACTGTGGAGCAGCAGCCACGAAGCCACTGTGCGGGAGCCTCCATGTGGCAGTGCCCGGCCAGCAGACCCATCTGGAGGGCTCTGCTCCTGCAGGGCACCCCCACCTCCGTGTCTCTGGAGACCTGCCCAGGATGTCCTAGTTACTGGGGCACAGCCAGCAACTGTGGGCTGCCTGAAAAGGGCCAGAGCACAAGGCAGTTGCAACAGTGCCCTTGGTGGCCAAACTCCAGACAGGTTTCTAGTCTCAGCTGTGTGAGGACCACAAGGATCCCAAGCATGTCCTCTCCCACTCACTCCTAGGGGATGCGGGGTGTTCCAGGTCTGAGGCCTCCAAAATGTTGTTCTCAGCACCCCACAGTGGCAGCATCCTCCAGGGGTGCCTCAGTCCCTGTGACTGAGCCCCAGGACGCCAGCAGGAACGGTCCTCCTCCAAACCAGGAGATGGCCCTTCCCCAAGTCAGGCCACACAGCCACCTATGCACCAGTCCTGTCGCTGCCCAAGCCCAGCCTCCAGGGCAGCAACTCTGTGCAGAACCAAGGGCACCAGGCACAGTGACTACATTGGATCTCTCAGCACACCCACACAGCACATGTAGAACAGAGGCTCAGAGAGGCCAAGCGAGCTATCTGAAGTCACACACCCACCCAGCTCCTGCACTCTGTGCTGCCTGCCTAGAGAGGGTGAGAAGGGATGAGGAGATGAGGAGTAGGACACACAAGGCACGTGCAGCCATAGCCACATGCAAACACACACATGCACTCAACAGACACAGGCCTATAGACACAGTACAAAGTGCCCACACCAACACACAGAGATGCATGCAGCCACGTGTACAGATACAAAGAGGCTCACGCCCACGTTCCTCATACATGGGTGCACGTGTGCATGCACAGAGACAGCGCTCATACTCACATGCCCACATGAGGCACACTTGCACAGACACAGATGTGGGACAGGTGCGTGTGGCCACACATGCACAGGTTCATGCTGAGCACAACGGCTGACAGAGTCTACTGAAGTTGCTCTGTGGCTCAGCTCCCACGCCACGTGCCTGGACCCCCTCCATCTGCCCATGCCCAGGGCACCATGGGATCTGTCCACTGCTGCCTGCCTGGTCCCAGAGCAATTGTGACACAGAGCCCTGGAACTTGCAAGCTAGGGAGGGCAGCCACAGAGAGCAGCCCTATCAGGACTGAGGAAGAAGCCAGAGAGGAGGCACTCTAGCTGTTCACTGGGGAAGGAAGAACCACACTGCACCCTGTTGGCCAGGTCCCCACCTCACCTGGGGTCCCAGCGTAGCCCTTGGTCTTGCTCTGCCCTTCCTGCAACTCCACAGCCAGCCCAAGGTCAGAGATCCGCACGTTGCCTGAGCCAACACAGTGGGGTTAAAAACCAATGCACCCGGCACACATGGCATGTGCACTACACACACACACACACACACACACACACACACACACACACACCACAGGCATAACACATACCACAGCACAGCCATGACACATACAGACACAACACCGGCACTGCACACACACCACACAGCATGCCCACACCACATACAGACACAACATAGACATCCATACACTGCATACATGCTCCCCACCCAGACCTATGCATGACCCTGGTGTCCACATTGTCCCAGGGGGAGAAGAAGAGTGCTAGCGGTGGGGGCTTGGGTTCCAGAGTGCTCTGCAGAGTTGGGGTTAGGGTCAGAGCCAAGGCAGGGTCAGGGACGAGGTCAGGGTCAGGACTGAGGCCAGAGCCGGGGCTGGGGAGAGGGCCAGCCCAGTGCAAGCCTCACCATCGTTGTCCAGCAGCACGTTCTCTGGCTTGAGGTCGCGGTAGACAATGCGCCTCTGGTGCAAGTGCTCCAGGCCGCTGATGATCTGGGCCGTATAGAAAATAGCGCGTGGCTCTGGGAAGCCAGGGTTCTCCTCATCCATGTTGTAGATGTGGTACCTGGGGGGCCATGGGACCTGAGCAGGGGCTCCATAGCACCCGAAAGCCCCACGGCCCTGTGCAGGCTAGGAGGCGCAGCCCTGTCCCTCGGAAAGGAACAGTGAGGCCTGGACAGGTGGCCTTAAGCTTCCTTTACTACACCAACCTCTCCAGCTTGCACCCCAGGAAATGGGTGCCTGAGCTGAGGGACAAGGGTCAGGCTGGGTGCCTGTTGGCGTGGGCAAGAAAGGAGGAGAAAGCCACAATCAGGCCAGGTGCTGCTCTGGACCTCATGTCCTCGAGAACAGTCCGCTGGGTTTCTTCAGAGGCCCTGGGGCGTGGAACCTTGGAGCACAGCCGCCGTCGCGGGGCAGTCAGGCACCAGGCTCAGAAAGCCACCTCACAACAGCCTCGGAGCACAGGTGTTTTTCAGTTCACCTACTGCATTTTTAAGCTCTTTTAGCACGTACCTGCAGCACAACCTGACTACACTCATCGTGGGGAGCTACAAACATGCATGGAATGTCTCAGTTCTTCTTACTTCCTGTTTTATTTTTATTCCCATTTTACAGATGAGGAAATTGAGGCACAGAGCAGTTAGGTTGCCCAGCTGGCCTGCAGTCTTTCCCCTCTGAGAGCTTGTGATGGGTCAGCCCAGTCCTGGGAGATGGTGGCTGAGACTGAGGCCGCACCACATGCCTGTCACTCTGTGTCCCTGGGCGGTTAGGCACGAGTGACAATCACCAAGGCCAGGGCACCCACCAGATGGGCAGATGATGTGTCCCCTGTGGCCAGGCTTCCCTGGCACAGTCCTACCTGAGGTCACCTCCATTCATGATGGTCATGACCAGGCAGAGGTCCACCTTGGTCTCAAATGCATAGGCCAATGAGACGATGAAGCGGCTGTGTACCTTGGCCAATATCTTCTTCTCCACCATGGCACCCTGTGGAGCAGGAGGGTAAGTGACTTCAGGGCAGACAGCAGCTACCTCGCTACTCCCCCAGTGGCCCCTCCCAGAAAGCAGTGCAGTTGCCCGGGATGGAGAGCGGGGTCAGCGGCTCCTGGAGCCCTCCTCAGTGGCAACCTGCCAGGCCCTCCTGCTCACCCACAGCTCTGCTGTCTGCCCTAGGGCTCTCAGGTCAAGCCAAGCAGGACTTGCTGGCCTTAGGTCCTGGAAAGACTCTGTCATTGGCTTAAAGTTGTGGACACAGGTAGCAGCCTAATGTGTGGATTATGCCTCAATAAAGCTGTACTTTAAAAACTGTCATTAGCCAGGTATGGTGGTATACATCTGTGATCTCAGCACTCAGGAGGCTAAGGCAGGAGGAGAGCAAGTTCACGGCCACTCTGGGCAAACTAACAAGACCTTGTCTCGAAAAATACCTTCCAATTTGGAAAATTGTCATTAGAACATGTGGGGTGCGGTTCACTTCACTTTCTAAGCCCGTGGTGTGGGCCCTCTTGGCCCCCATTTGACAGTCACCACAAACACCTGACACTTGACCTGAGGGGTCAGGAACGTGCACTGGCTGCATCCCCCACCACCGAGCCTGGCCTACCCTTGCACTGGCTGCTGTGTGAGGTGTCTAAGTCCCTCAGAGGCTAAGCAGCTTTCCCTGGCCCAGCCCCCACGTGACACCTGACCCCAGATGAAGCCTGTACACTCTCTTTGCTCCCCACCCTGGGAAACCTGTGTGCAGGAAACACGATCCTGTGCCCCAGAATCACGGGACCTTGCCTCCTGGAAGCTTCACAACCATCCACCTCTGCCTCCTGCACCCTCGGGTCCTGTGGGCTGGGCCTGGGCCCCCAGAGCCAGGACTCTTCCCAAGCTGCTCTCGTGCGTGGTCACTGATGGGCAAGGGCTTGCCAGGGCCCACACCACCCAGGAAGCCTGCAGAGAGGCCCCAAGCACTGGGCACAGCATGCTGCCGGCCCCTCACCTGATACCCCTTCCTCTTCTTCAGGCGCTTCTTGTTAAGCTTCTTGCAGGCATACATCTTGCCAGTGGCTTTCATCTGGCAGGCTGACACCTCCCCAAAACCACCCTTGCCCAGCACCCTAAAGTCCAGGAACCAGTCCTCGCCAATGGGCTGTGCCTCAAGCCACTTCCACTGAAGGAATCTCAGGAAATGAAGGCTGCCCAGGAACTCCTGGAAAGGCTCCCGGCCCAGGTGCGCCAGCGTGGCCTGCTGCAATGGCTGGAAGAGTCCATCCTGGCTGCCCACCGGGCCCTCCTTCACCCGTGCCATGGTGCCCTCATCTAGGAAGCCACAGAAGAGCTCGGCCTGGGGGTCCAAGTACTCGGCCAGGAGGGCCTGTGCCTTCTGCGGCCGCAGGTCATCATCAGCTGTGTCATAATCCTCGACATCTCTCCAGAGCCCCAAGGCCGGTGCATGCCTCTTGTCTGTGCCCAGGAACTGCTGGAAGAGCCGCTTCCCAATGGGCTGCTCCAAGCACACGCTATCGAACTCCAGGCTGAGGCTCTCACGGAGACCCTCGCACTTGGACAGCGGGGGCAGCCGGAGCTTGGCCAGGTACTTCTTGTCCCGGGAGGACGGGACACTGCTCCCGTCAAAGCTGCCTCTGGCAGCAATGAAGGCAGAGTTGGCCACCACGGTCTCCAAGGCTCCGAAGTCCATCCTGCTGCCGAGGCCCAGCCCACAGCACCCACTGCCAAAGCAGCCCTGACCTGATGCCCTTGGCCTGTGGCCTGTACCTTCCCTCCCCTGAGAAGGAAGATGTTCTAGCCCCGGCAAGGGTGCTGGGGACCCACCGGGAAGCCCTGGGAGCCCAGGGCTGACGCAGCATCAGTCTAAATCCCAGCCCCGGGGTCACAGAGGACGCCTTAGGAGTGACCAGCCAGTGCTCAAAAAAGACAATCCCCTAAGCCACTACAAATCGGATTAGACAGTGTCCAGTGCCCCTCCTGCTGAGGGGACACCTCTGCTTCCCACGGGAAGGACGAGGCCAGGCCTGACCCTGTGCAGGGCCTGGTGGGAGGAGAGTAAGTCCCAGGAAAAACTTTCCTGTCTAAGGGTGGCGATCTGTTTTCTCCTGCTAGATTTTATGAGTTTGTTTTTTTGTTTTGTTTTGTTCTTTTGGTGGAACCGGGGATTGAACTCAGGCCCTTATGCTTGCCAGGGAAGCGCTTATTCCACTGAGCCATCTCCCCGGCCCTCTCCTGCTAGATTTTGATAGGACCCAAACCTCTTGACAGTAAGGGTCCCGAGGAAACCCCACACTGCAGAGCCCTGGTGTCTGTGTCCTAGGCTGTGGGGCCAAGCCAGCATCCCCAAGCTGTGTCTTCTCCTCAAACCAAGACTGAAGACATGGCTGGTGATGCAGGGACCAGTGACCAGAGACACACAGAAGTCACTCAGGCTGCAGAGAAACAGCAAATCTGATGAAGAGTGGAAAGGTGGGCACACAAAGGGTATACCTGACACACACCTGGGGCACACCTGAGATTCAACCAAGGTGTACCCAGGCACACCTGAGACTCAAATAAGGTTCACCTGGGACACACCTGCAACACACCTGGGGCACACCCACAACACACTTGAGTATCACTAAGACACCTGGGGTACACTTGGGATTCAGATGGGGCACACCCAGCACACTTCTGGCACATAGAGGGGCCATACCCAAGACAGCTGGGGCATACCTAGGACATACCTGGACACCACTGAGATGCGGGCAGGACACAGGTGGACACCTGAGACACACCTGGGGACAATGGCCTGCAGGGGAGTCTGGGAAGAACTACAGGACACAAGCATAGCTGCTTCCGGCTCCCACGGGGGAGAAAACACAGGGTGCAGGGGAAAGTGAGCCAGGCCCCTCCTCGTCCAGGCGGGCAGAGGCACCCTGCAGTAGGGATGCCGGGTGGAGTAGGGAGGGCTGCATACTCACAGGCTCCTGGCAGGGTCCAAGCAGGCGCCAGTGAGTAAATATTTGAGGTGACCAGCAGCTCTCTGTCCCAGGAGACCTGCATTCCTCCACCCTGCTGCTCAGCAGCGGTGACCTTGCAAGGCCATGGCGCCCTCTCTGGCCCCCTTATGGTGGAGGGAACAGTGGCGCGCTCCCTGCTGGGCACCTCGCAGCACCAGGCTTTCTGTGCGTCCTGTGCCTGGGACCTTGCTGAAACTCAGGTCCCACCAGAAGTGGGAGGAATTGGGGGCACCGAGGGAACCAGCAGCCAGGGCCAAGGGGCACTGTGAGAGATGTCAGGGCTTCAGTGTGCTCAATCACAAGCTAAATGAGTCTCTACTCAGGAATCAGAGTTGAGACCCCAAGCATACAAGCCTCTAGACCCTACATGAAACGTCTATTTTGGGGGTCAGGGAGATAGCTCAGTAGAATAAGCGCTTGCCTGGCAAGCACAAGGGCCTGAGTCCAATCCTGGGTTCTGCAAAAAAAAAAAGTCTACTTGTGGTAACTGTAGAACCACATACAGCTGTGAGAAAACGCAGCATATTAGCACCCCAAGTTTAGCTCAACATTGCAGCCAGGTCTGTGAGGCCATCGTCACCCCGACGCAGGGCCTGGGTCCTCCTGGAACCCTCCTGCTGCTCTGTGCACTGCACCCTTCTCTTTCTCCCCCATGGAGGCAGATCCGTCCCCAGCCACCCTACACCACTGCTGGGGGCTGTGTGAATGAACCCCATACTGTTCTGCCTTTGGGGAGCAGCTTCTCCATGGCCCCGGAGACCCCTGCCACCCCAATACATAATAAGGTCCCCCTTCTCCTAGCTGAGCAGGGTCCTCCGTTGGTCACTGCTGGTCCCAGCCACCCACTGCAGGGCCTCTGGGCTCTTCCCGATGTTTGGCTGTCGTGAACAAAGCTGTGTATGTTCCACGTGGGCTTCCGTGTGACTGCAAATTTCCACTTCTGGATGAATGCCTAAACATGATTCTAGGTTACCTCATATTCAGACAGCTACTTTAAAGGAAGCTGGCAAGCTGTCCTCCAAGAGCCTGCACCCCGTTTTGCTTCTCCACCAGCCAGAACACAGGAGGCCCAGCCTCCAGCCTCACTGGGACAGGGTCTGGATCTCTTGTCTGTTCTTACCTCACCATCATGATGGGCACTTGCTGCCCCTTATGGCTTTAGTTTTGTTCCCCCAGGACAACTCCTCACGTCTCCTGACTGTTCTATCCAATGTTTGCTTTTGGCCATTGACTTTGGAGAGTCCTTTTGTGTCCTGGACACCAATCAGCCCTTTGCCAGAGAAGTGGTTTCCAAATGCCCCGCCAGGTGGCGGCCCGTCTCCTCCCCCTCTCTGGGCTTCTGCAGAGTACAGCTGTGCTTTAGTGTAAGTCCAAGTGCCCTCTACCCAGCCTAAGGTCCTCAGCACTGCCACATTTTTCCTTTAAAAAAAATGCCCATCCCAGCTTACAGTGCAGTTCCCCAGCCACTTTGAGTTCAGTTTTGTATAAGGGGCAAGACGGGTTCTGGATTGGTCAACTGGTTTATTTTTAACAGTTGCCTTGGCATTCCTGCTGAAAAGGCTGCTTCTGCCTCGCTGGGTTTATTTTTCACCTTGGAAGAAGGCCAGCTGGACATATTTGCCTGTCTCTGGATTTTCCCTTCTGTCCCTTCAGGGTCTCTGTCTCCTCCCAGCCACACCACTCCATGCTGACCACTGTAGCTATATCACAAGCTCCAAAATGGGGTAGACATAGTTCTTCCCCTTTATCCTTGTTTTCCCAAACTACTTTTCATAAAAGTTATGTTAAAAACCCTCTATTCAGATAGGTGCAGTGGCACATGCCTGTGTTCCCTCACTCCAGCAGGCTGAGGCAGGAAGATCATGAGTTGGAGCCCAGTGTGGGTGACTTAGCAAGACCCTGCCTCCAAATTTAAGATTTAACAGAGGGCTAGGAATGTAGCTGAGCACAGAGGCGCTGGCTCCACCCCCATGCTGAGCACACGCACATGCACACACACAGAGCTCCGTTCTCAATACACAGGAATCACCGTCTCTAGATCCTCCTGATGGGAGCTGTGTTGGGCCCTGAGCCTGTGACTCCTCCCCACCAGCTCTCCACGCAGCAAGATGCATGCTGTTGTGCTAGATGAAGGCTAAGTGTCCCTTTTTGTTTGCAGCAATTATAAATAGAGCATTTCTAACACAGCCGTCCACATGTCGTTGCTAGTGTGTAGAACCACGGGTGTCTTGGGACACCTGTCTGTAGGTGACAGCCTTGCTAAGCTCCCATGCCTTGCAGTTTTCCTGGGGTAGTCTGCACATGGCACCCTGCTCTCTGCAAGGTCAGCTCCGCTTTCCCCTTCCTGGACTGATGAGTCCTGTCTGCTCACTGGCACAGCCAGGGCACCAGAGAGCAGCACAAGGAGAGCAGGCCCGGCCTGGGCCCAGCTGTCTGGCTCGGTAGGCTCTATTGCCACTGTCACAGTGAGGAAGATCCCATGTTCCTCGTCCTTGATGGCTATAGGACTGTTCAGGGTCTATCCTAAGCTAGGGGAGTTGTGTCCTAAGGAAGTAGTCCAGTTCCTCTAAAGTGTCCAGGTCCTGGGGGCCAGGGAGATAGCTCAGTAGAATAAGCGCTTGCCTGGCAAGTGCAGGGTCCTGAGTTCAATCCCTAGTACCACAAAATAAATAAACAAAGTGTCCAGGTCCTGTGCAGAGATGTGTGGTGTCTTCCCTGGCTGCTTGGTGTCGCCAGCTGGTGGTGATGTCTCCATCTCACTCCTGAGTCCAATGACAAGCACATTCTCCCCCAAGTTTGCCAGCTTTGCTGATCTTTTCAGGAGATCAGCTTTTCATTCAGCTATTTTCTCCATTGCTTTTCTATCTGCAAATTCATTGGTTTCAGTTTTCATCTGTTGGCTTATTTGCTTATTTTTCTTCCTGTGCTGTTTCCTAGGCCTGTGAAGTGGAAGCTTACATTTTTTACTTGAAACTTTGCCTCTTTTCTAATGCACATATTTAGTGTTGTAATATTTCTCCTTAATTCTATCATAGCTGTGTCCCACAAATTTCAGTAGGCTGCATTTGGGTCTTCTCTCCATCCTACACAATTTTAAAGTTTTCCCCACAGACTTCCTCTTTGACTCAGTTACCAGTGGACTATAGCTTCCATGTATTCTGAGGCTTTCCTGGTGTTTTCTGTTATTCACTCCTACTTTGATCCCATGGTGGTTGGAGAGCTCTCACTGTGGGGTTTAAATCGGCTGAGATTTACCTGTGGCCAGAGCACAGCCTAGTTTGTATCAGATCCACTCTTGAGTAGGACAGCACCCGGCCGCTGCTGTGGGCGCCCTGCACGCGGCACCCACAGGCTAAGGGTGTGGAAGTTCGTTCATCCTGACATCTGTTTAGTTCTCTTATCAGCTGGTGAAAGAAGTGCTTTGAGATGCCTCCACCTCTGGTTGTGCATTGTCTGCTCCATCCAGTTCCAGAAGTTCAAAGCATGTTTGACATTTCTGCTCTTTCAGGGCTGCTCTGCCTTCTCTCTGTATTGGCCCTCCTCTTACTATAGAGAGCATCTTTGCTGCTGGAAACACTCCTGCATGGAAGTTGCTGTTTTTCTGGGTGGGTTCTTGCATGGCATGCCTCCTCCATTCCTGTTTATCATACTCCTGTTTATCATGCAGATGGTCCTCATTTAGTGACCTACCTGTTTCACCACTGTTTGGATTTATGACTGAGGCTAGCTATTCAGACTTTGCACCCACAGCCTGGACACAGAGCCTGCTCTCGGACCCGAGAGCATGATGCCGGAGCATGCGCGGCAGCTCCTGCAGCTCAGCACTGTGATCCCTGGACCACACAGGCAGGGCTGCATTTCTGTTGTGCCGTCACAGCGCTGCATGCAAGAGTCCTGCAAATAGAAGCGAAGTCATCAAGGTGGAGTTTCCTGTGACTGTTTCTTTGCCCTAAGTAACATAGTGTATGTGCTACATGTAATTCCTCACTAGTGACCAGTTCACTTAACATGTCGCCACAGAACTTAGTTCAGTGGCTCATAGAGCAGTCTCAGGCCCTGTTGGCCTTGTTGCTGACTCATTGAGCACAATTTGAAATCCAAGAAGAAAATGAAATTCTAGAGTAATCACCCTACTTTTCTCATTCTTGCCCTTCCAGTATTTCTTCTTTCTTCATTTTCTTTGTGTTTTGAGTTTTCCTTAGGTGTTCTTTTAAAGTAAATCATTTTTGCAATGTCTTTGTTTGCTTGTTTTTTCTTTGCCTTCATTTGAAGATGTCTGGATTCTCCCTACATTCCTGATGATATTTTATAGGTATAAGATTGTGGCCTGAGAGTCATTTTCTTTAAAATTATTGTGCAGCCAGACATGGTGGCACATGCCTATAATCCCTTTACTCAGGAGGCTATGGCAGAAGGCTTGTCTCATGTTCAATGACATGACCAAGGCCAGTCTGAACTACACAGCAAGACCTCATCTCAAAATAAAAATAAAACAAAATTATTATGCAATTTTCTTCTGGTCTTCAGGGTATCTGATGAGAGTTCTGTGGTCATTCAAGTCGTTTTTCTTTGGCTGCCTTTAAGGTCTTTTTCTGTCTTCAATTTTCAGATGTTTGATGACTGAGCTTGCGAGGGTTGAAGGGCACCCTACACGGCTTTACTCAGCTTCTTGGATCTGGCAGGCTACGACTGTGCCCAATTTGAGTTCTCAGCTGGGCACTTTGCAGCAGTGGCCTCCAGCCTCCCTCCAAAGGTTGCCAAGATGGGTGCCAGCCTTGGCCACAGCACGTGTCCTGCAGCCTGGGTGTCACCACTGCTTTCTTCTGCTGTGTCTTCCTACTGGGCTCACCTGCTGCGAAACCCACTCTTTAGGCTTTTCATTTTGATCACTGTATTTTCAAATTAAAATGTTCCATTTTGCTTTTTGTAGCTTCTATTTCTTTCTTTAAACTTTCCTTGTTTTTTTGTGGTATCAGGGATCAAACTCAGTACCTTGCACTTGCCAGGCAGGCCCTTATGCCACTGAGCTATCTCTCTGGCCCCTAAACTTTCCATTTCTTTATTGAGAGTTTCTTTTTATTTGCATTGATCATGTTTGCCATTACTTTTTGCAGCACCATTACCATGGCTGTCTTGAATGGCATCTGGGTGTTGAACCACTGTCTCTTCGGCCTGGCACACACCGACAGTGCTCCTAGCTCTTCACGCGGTGTCCAACTATCAGCAGCAGCAGCACCGCCATTTCTTCTCCCTTCCGTTTGTTTCTCCAGCATTCCCTTGGCACCAGGAGCTCCGCCATCGCTGTGAAAGGTGGACGCCTGGACACCCTACGGGGACTGTGGGCCTCTTGTTACTGTTGGGTGGGCAGGAGCTCTGGCTTTACATGGCCTCCACTGGTCCCATGGATGGTGCCTACTACATTACAGTGGGTGGTGGTTGCCATCCTGAGTGTCTACTGGGCTGACCTGATACCACCCGGGTGTCATACAAGTGCCAGGAGCCTGGGGTCAAGGTCCTCTCCATCTGGACCCATTTGGAACTTCCTGGCTCTGCATCCTCATGATGCTCCAGGGAAACTGCCCTATACCCAGGCAATGGCCCTCCCACAGGCCCAGGGCCACTCTGGTCATGCATGTGCAACTAGCTCACAGGGCTGCTTCCAGAAACTCAGACTGTCAGGACACAGAATTCAAAGACATCCAGGAATCCATGCCCCACCAAAAGCATTTTTGTCTGTCACACTGGCAAGGCTGCAGACAGTGGTACATTCGGCTCCTTGCCCCTGGAGTTCCAGGCCCAGGGCTCACGCAGGAAGATGGCAGCCTCCAGCACTCTGAGCCTGGTGGCCCTCAGCTCTCCACGTCAGAGATGGTTGGATTGAGGAAGAGTCAGGGCTAAAATGGTGCAGTTCCTCCCGAATGTCACAGCGCTGGTTTTGTAGGCACGCTCCGAACCAATCTAAAGAAAAAAAGGCTGAGTAGTGGCTACAGAAGTCTCCCTTGTGCTTCCCAAAGAAACTGTGTGGCTACATGGATCTCGGAGAAAGCCTGGCTGTGACGGGAGATGAACTCCTAAACGTGACTCCTCGTGCAATAGGTGTCAGTGCCCATGCTCCAGTCGGGCTTGGCCTTCTACACTTCCGAGCACCCGAGCTTGTCCCCCTGCCTGGTCTCCCAACCCTGCAGAGGGGATGCTGCAGACCTGTGCCAGCTGCAGGAAATCTTCAGCTCCGGGAACTGGTTGCACACTGGGAGCTCAGGCACAGGCAGAGGGATAGGGAAGGGTTCAGTGTTTGTAGCCCACCCCCATGTCTCACTTGCACACTCTTCCCTCGGACCCTCAGCACAGCACCTGGGAGCATGCAGGCTCAGGCCTCACTGGAACCCACCCTGAAGATGCTAGGATGGAGCATGAAGCAGCTGGGTCCCTCCAGGGACAGAGACACCCATGGGGCGCATTCTACCCTCCAAGCGGCAAGAGGACAGCGTCCTTATGCACAAGCTGGCCCTTTCTCCACTGTGATGACATTCCGCCTGCCATTCACGGAGACAAACATCCAAGGTCAAGGGCTGCAGGGTCGTGGGTGGCACTCAGACCCTTTGCAGAAGTTGAAGGTTGAAAGTTTTGTCCCAGGAAGGTGGGGCTGGCCCGGGCTGTCACCCACTTCTGATCCTTGTTTGTGTTTCACCTCCTAAAGGAGCCAAGTAACAGTCACCAGCTGAGGGCATCCCAAGGGCATCCCAAGGGCAAATCAGGGCTGCCAGCACCAGGATGCAGGTGGAAAGCGTGACAGTGGGGCCTGCGCAGCGGCCAGGCCTGTGGCCCCTCCCCGTGTTTGCAGATGATGGCAGAGCCGATAGCACTCTGGGGCCTCCAGCCTCCTCCGAGGAGAGTATAAAGTCGAGTGAGGGCACACCTTCTCTGCCAGCCCGGACACCAAGACATGGCGGCTCTGCAGGAGAAAAAGACCTGCAGCCAGAGGATGGAGGAGTTCCGGCACTACTGCTGGAACCCTGACACGGGGCAGATGCTGGGCCGCACCCCGGCGCGCTGGGGTAGGTGTGGGCGCTGAGGGGGGCCGCAGGCAGGGGTGGAGGGCAGCACAGGCCCTGCCAGGATGTCGTGTGGAAACAGAGCGTGGGCACCCAGGCCCCAGCCGACGCTGGAGGCAGGAGCCCCATGCGGCCCTGAATTTCCACAGCGCCTTTGAGAACAGCATTCTAAAACCCACGGCTTTCGAAATAATTCTTTAAAAAAATTTAAAGGCAGCGAGGGGGGCTCTCAGCTCGCATAACCTATGCACGCGGAGCTGCTAATCAAGGACAAGCCTCGGCGCGGCCAACCTTGCGAGCCGCACTTGGGCGCCCCCTGCTGTGCAGTCGCTGCTCAGCACCCGCCGCTCGGGCCTCCCTGCGCAGACCCGCTGATCAGGGCTGCAGGCCCAGGCGCCCTCCCGTCTGACTGCACACAGCCACCTGTGCCCTTCGGGGGGAGTGGGTCTTGCTGACAACAGGCAGTCCCACGGGGCAAGTCCTCCACAAACAAACTGCTCACTGAGCCCAGAACAAGTGAATTCCCTCCATGACCCTCAGGCCGTGGCAGCCAGGTCAGGAGCCAACAGTATGTCTGGGCCCTAGGACCTCTGCAGTGTGGCCTCTCTAGGGAGAGGGCACAACAGTGCACCCCACTACAGAGTGCCCTGTCTGCCCAGTTTTCCTGTGGGTGCCGAACCAGTCCCAACCTCCTTGATGAGGGGATAAGGACAAGCCTATGGATTTGCAGGGGTGTCATGGCTTAAGGGATCCCGCTTCAGGTGACCCCGCTTCAGGGGACCCCACTCCCCAACTGGGTGACAAAGATGCGGATGATGCTTACAGTGTGTGAGCCCACTGTCTGTACATACAGTGTGCAACCTCTCCAAGACCCTGTTCTCTCATGGGGACACAGCACCCATCCCCCTCTAACACAGCACCCA